TTTAAAAGAGAAAAGGATAAAAGCATTATTCTGTACAGAAATGAACCATCTTCATAAACACACGATTATTGCAAATGTTATGAAAAGAAACAGGCCTGTGTGATACGATTATTAAATTATCCATGTAAAACAATGAATCAAGGCTCTTTTCAAATTGGTGAATCGCATTATTTTTTTAAAAATTGTTTATAGTTCAATCATTTAGTATTAATTGAAGGCTTCACTGTATCAGACTATCTTTTCAAAATTAGTTCGGATACGATTTGAATCGACTTCATCTTTTAAAAAAGTTATTTAAATAGTAGAAAAGTACTCAAACAAACAATAGGTATCATGTTTTTATGTGAATAGGTCGAGCGAAAAGTAAAAGCAAAAAAAAGCATTAGAAAAAAGCGATCCTGAAGAAAGATTTAAATTGAAGATTCCAGAAAACAACTTGACAGAATATCATTTGTTAGTTTAAATCAATTACGAAAAGTACAAGCAGCTAGATTATGTGAAACAAACTATATTGAGTAATAGCATTCTTTTTTTTGACGTGTAGTTGCAATGTATTGAATAGTAATAGGTTTTTGTTTTAATAAATATCTTAAACGAGGAATTTCGTTGTTGAATTGAATTTTATAGAGGGTAAGTTTTTCGTAAAAATTTTGCCGTTAGGGGAAAATTTTTACTTCACCGGCAGAATCTGCACCCCTGACCAAACTGCTCATAAACTAGATATCCTTTCATTCGACAAACGAACAAAACCATTCGATATCTTAAGACTTCACGATATTGAAGCAAGAAATGTTACATCCAACGAAGATGCCTAGGTAAAACTGAGACACCCAAAAAGACAAGCGTACGAGGATCGCCTGGCTGAAGAGATCGAGGATATACGTACACAGGAGCATTATGTAACTGAGAAGGCTTTGAAAAGACATTCACATAGGTGTCAGAAGCTGAAAAATTATCGCCTGTAAACGTGTAAACAATTGAAAACGGCTTTAACAATTCAGTTAATAGTCCTAGCTTTAAGCTAGCATTAGCTTGTGGAGATGTTAGAGTTTCTTGATTTCTGGAATTCTCAAGAGTTCAGTATTAACGAAATCGAATATGTCTCACGAACGAGGGAAAAAATCGACTTACGATAGGAATGCGATGAGACAACGGGATTTTTGAAAACGTCTCTCAAATTTTGACTCTGATCTAAGCACCAAATCAGTTGAGAAAAGTCGTATTTCACTAGAAAATCAGTCCATTAGTGCTCATCATAAAAGAGTATTCAGTCCAGAAAATCCTATGGCCTTTCTTATAAAAACTTACAATCTACAAGTTTGTTAGACTCGAGTCAGTCCTTTTGGAGCCTGAGTTTCGATCACGTTATTTCAAGCTCAGATGAAAGCGTACGATACGCGAATAAATGTATTTAATTCGACAGATCAGTCTAATGAAGTGAAACTGAAAACAGTTGGCTTAACATAATTGTGTTATCATTATAAAGCTAGTCTTTGAAGCACTAATCTACAGTATTTCTCAAATATTTCGTCATTCGAAGATAGACCACTGTGATTTGTTTTACTAGTTCTAAAATGATGAGCTTGACTTCCTGTAATATTCTATACACGGTCAATATACAGTCCGTTAACAAATTACTTTCAAGCAGTTAATGCTGTTGCTGTTTCGATCGATTAGGGTGTACCAAAACAAGAATCATGGCTAGGAAGAGTCTGCTATCACTCTCAGATAAGTCGCCATCTTAAGTGCTATCTTCACCATTACCTTTAGCCATGTATGCTCGCTTGCCTATTTTGTTCCATTGAACGACTAAATAAATTTTGAGAGCTTCACAGAATCGCGAAAAGTCTTGAAAAAATACGTTCGGCAATTGCTGAATATTTAGTTAATATGGAAGTGCCTATTTATTCAAATTCGTAGGTTTTAACTTAATTCAAATGCTTAGCATTTATTCAAATAATTATTAATCATTGTAATAGAGTAGATTTTCATAAGACTGTATGTGCATACTTCGATACCAGTCTAAGCTCATGATTTCGACGCTTGGTTCCGTGGGTTTTTGATTGAAACCACAAAAAAAGCCGCCAAATATGACAAAAACCTGACAAGAAAAATACGATAGTCGAACCCTACCACAGGCTTTCCAATGTTATGATCAGTTCCGACCAGAATCGAAATCACTCAGCCATGAAATCTTAGCATTGTATTTTTGCTTCTCAAATTTTACCATTTTCTATCTCAATATTCACCAATATATACTTATTAATAATTGGTATCACGCTATGCAACATCCTCATATGTATATTTGTGTGCGTATCTACTCTCCAGTATCATCACTAGCAGACATAATATGCCTTAACTTATTTATTTTTGCTCTTTTTTTCCTTTGTCACGTGGGTATGTTGATTTTATCTTATTTATGTTGTTCACCAGTACGTGCTGTTGTTTTTAAATGTCTTGTTTCTCTTTTAATCTGTCTTATCTCTCATGTATGTTTCTACCTCTCCAAAATTAACGTCCTCGATAACTTGACTTTATGTAAGATGGGATTTTTTTTTGTTGAAAGAAGGCATTTATTGATTTGTTGCGTAAGAAAAGAGTTCGTAGACTAAGAAAACGTGAATTGAAACGTGTTGCCAAACAAACTATGAAAAAAAGAGAGTCTGACAGAATTTCACTCAATAGCAGATATTTTTAAGATTCTGCAGTCGATTTTGAAATCTTTTTTTAGGTTCTACGTTATGCAGAACTCAGATCGAATAATATACTATGTAAATGGTCGCATGCAGCTAAAATACGATAACTCGTAATCTGGAAATGACAATCTCATATTATATATCGTGTTACTGTTCATTATGGTACAAAACTAAGCTGTATACAGCAATTTTTTACGCTGCACTATAAATGTACTGTATCCGATCACTGTCTACGCACCGTATTTACATCATATTATTGAATTGCCTTCGCTTCATAATTACTTGCCATATAATAGTATACAATCGATAATTCTTTTTAGGTACTATCTGGCACTGCCAAACTTGTCATGTTCTAATGTTTTGCACGAAAAACATTTTCTTCTCTCTATTGTAACTTAAAACTGTCATGTTTTTTTTATTAATGTTAAGTCTCCATGAACTCTTTTTAGTCCCCAGACAGACAAGGAAACAATCAGAGTGCCCTCGAAACATCGCAATATGTAAACTGTGAAAATGTTTTATTAGTCTCCAAGAATGTATTGATCATAGCCTACGGTAATTCAATTATTAGCACTTCTGGCACATTTAAACACCTAAAGTTGTTGTAATATTTATGGTTGTGACAATTTTATGGCGATTAATCTAACATTTTTCATGATATTGGTGAAAACGACTTTTAACAATTGACACATTTTCCACCTAAACGTTTGTAATTAATTGATTATAGTCAAGTTAAAGATTAGATTGGTGTTAAATTAATATTGATTCATCTATTATTTGAAAAGGTTTCAGAGGATTTTTTTCTCTTTGTGCAATTTACTTATCTTTACATTAAGATTAAGTGTACATGTTACTAGGTGCTTACGTATCCAGCTGTTTTTCTTTTTATAATAGTCTAATGAAAGATGAAAACGCGTAGGTCGAATCGTTCTGTTTTACCGTCTTGTCACTTTACTCCACTATCAGAAAAAAAAAACAAGCAGATACGCGAGTAGTAATATGTGCACCTAATCTTAATGTAATGATCAGCAAATTGGCGACAGAGAAAGGAATCCTTCAAAACGTTTTGAAATAATAAATAGTGATTTAGAGTCCATATAATTTGAGTGTGAGTATCTGTTGAGAGATTGTGGGTGTGGGTGTAGCTGAGATAGTGAAGATGAGGCTTGTGAAAGAGTGTGTGTCCCTTCTTCGCTCATGTGCAAGATCCCTCGCACCACAAGGACCCCTACAGCTAAAGTCCAACCAACACGTTCACATCCGCATCCACACCCAATACTCTCTTATCGTTGATCGATTGCTTCCTATATAGGCTCCAGGTTCTTCAATGCAACGGTTGCTTGATGATCAAGAAAAACTACGACGCCATGAGCTTATCTTATCTCGCTATGACTTAATATTCTTGAATGAATCATTATGTAATCATCGATTATATTATTACGCCGTAGTCATGAATTGCTGTTTCATTGATAGCTGCTAGTTAGATTCGATGTTTCTGATGTTGTTTGACGATAAATAAACTCTTTTTTTTTACTTCTCAGAAACACAATCTCACATTCCATCCGTCGAAAAATGTAGGTTTGATTTTGTTCGTGATCCAGAAATGTTTCGTCTCATTACTAGGTGGCTAATTTGAAAGTACAACTTCATGGCTACTGGTAGCCGAGTAATGTAATTCACTCTTGCAATATACTCGTAGAATCCTGTAAAATTCATCACATCTTTAACAGACTGCTATTCAGGAAAAAACGATTCTGTGTTTATTGATATAGAACATTTATCATTCTTCTGTACGTTTAACATCTAAGTACTAAAATCAATCATGCCCTTTATTTTCTTTGTTCTTGTCTTTTTAGAAAATAATATAAATTTTTTATTGTATTTTTGTCTCATAATCCTAAAATATCGGTTATGTAATTTTCTTGCAATAGATAATTTACGTATGTTAGTGACCTCTGCCATCTTTATGTAATTTGTTTCGAGAAATAAGCGAATAGAAATCAACTACTGTGACTTAACTAATCAAACGTCTTGGTTTTATTTTTCTCTGAAGTTATTGTGTCGCCACTCGTTGTATTACCGTAGATACATAAGCATATTCATATGCGTGATGATTCGTATTAATTATTATTTTGTTTATTAAAAAAGCAGAAAAAAAATAAACAATAATTTATTTTTCTTCATCATTCTGATGCATTCTTTTTCCTAAACAAAATTTCTTGTTTACGTTTTTATATATCTGCACTTGATTTCTTTTTAGTTTTAAAAATAGCTGTGATTAAATAATAATGAACGTTTAAAAGTATGTCTGGACAATCACCGTATATGTCAGCAGCTCAATATGGTTATCCAACTAGTTTTCAACAGGTAAATTCCTAGAATGTTTATTTTTATATACAAATAAAAATATTTTTTTTCTAGCGTGACGCTCGTTATCCTGGTGGTTCAAACGTTGAACCAGCTCTGGGAATAAACCGACGTCCATCATTACTTGCTGGTTATCATAATCATTTTAGTAGTCCAGAAAGGTTTGTTTTAAATTTAAAAAAAATGTTTATATTGTCTTTTTTTTCTTTTAGAACTTCAATACCACCCTTCTTATATTCGTTAACAGCTCCGGTTTCAATGGGACCACATGTTGATGAACATTCAAAACCACCACGTTATCCACCAAGTGCACCATTATCAATTGATGTGAAAAAGGTTTATTAATAATGAATTATGAATAATTTATTAAGAATTTGAATTTTTAGGAACCACCATTATATCAACCACAAACAGAAGCTATTTCACCAATATTTGATGAAACTAAAATTGATTCACATATGAGAGATACAACAATAATACGTAATTCAATATCAAAACTTGAATCTGAAATTGAAATAGCAAAGAAAAAACTTGATAGAGCAAAACTTAGTCAAGTAAAAATTAGAAAAAAAAATTTTTTTTTTCTCATTTAGTTATTTTTGTTTTTCTTGATATAGAGTGAAATTAAAAGTCAAGCTGATAGATCAGCTGCTGATGAAGAAGAAAATGATGATCGAGATGATTTATTTAAAACTAATGGTTCACAAACACTTATCGAAAAAATTCTTCATGATAATAGAGTAAGTTATATATATATATATGTATAAAACTCCTATTGGTCAATTACATAATTTCTAGTTTTGATCTTCTTACTAAGTTTTGTATTTCCTTTAGATACAAAAATTTTTTATAAAAATATGAAAGAACATTCGATTATGTAATAGTTGTCGAGGGATGTGTCATGATCTTCTAAGATTGTTTTACGTATTAAAGAACATGTTAAATTAAGCATTTAAAATATGATAATTATGAGATCAGATTGTGCTTTAGGTTATTTAAAAGGTTTATTGCGATTTACAGGAAAATATTAAAGCTAAATGAATGAAAATTTTTATACGACAATCTAGAAAAAAAAACGGTTTAAAACTCTCATGATGATGTCTTGACACCCAAACTCCATCGTAAAAAGGGAAATTTCCCTGGTCTGAGAAAAATTTCCCTGAACACGTATATGAGCACACTCTACAACTCTGTTTATGTCATTCCATCAATGACAGTATATTCTGGAATGTTAATGTTTAAATCAAAGAACTTGACAATTTTATATTGTATGCAGTAAACACTTGAGTGGAATTTTTTTTTCTTATTTAATAAAAGATTTCTTAAACAATGATTGGACGAATACAAATATCAGTCTTTTAAAAAAAAACATGATTCATGATTTATACTTGAAAATATATTATTTATGGAATTGAATTGAGTTTGAGAAAAAAAAAGAACGAAATTTATAAATTAAATTTTACTTGTCTCAAGTATTTGCACTTATAATAATGACCTTGACCTGAATCGAATGCATTTTTTATTTGTATAATGAAAAAAGATTCATTCTCGGTTTTCATGAATTTAATTATATAATTTTTTTCTCATTAACTAAAGTTTCAATGATATTTTCATGTAGAAAATTGACCTTCAATTATTAAAAATACATCAATGATAGTTTTTTTGTTTTCGAATACAAAATCTGTGACACATATTTGCTCATTCAATAGAAAATATGCGTGATCGATGACTATATTATATTTAGCCGACGGATTGATTAGTCATCATTTTTTTTAATCGTAAACATTTATACGCATTCGAGGCATAATCTTGATTTATTATCATATTGATTGTTTCTATCGTTTCTTCTACTATATACCTGTTTGCTGTTCAGTGACCTACATTAGTATGGCTTGTTTTGTTATTATAGAATCTTAATCGGAAATACGGTTTGAGCATAGCTTCAGGGATGTAGCCAGAGGGGTGCACGTGGTGCCTGTGCATTCATCTTGGCTAAAGAATATCTGAAGGGAATACGGATAAAAAGTCCTGTCGCGAAATAAAATATTATTTTCCTGTTGGCGTACACCCGCTTTTGGAAAATTCCTGGATACGTTCCTGCGTAGATTGTTAACAATTATAGATTCTCTTTCAGCTTCGAATTGATACGATGATCTCGTTGAAGTTAAACTGAAAACTAATAATTAGACCAAAAAAAAAATACGATGAGAAATTGAATTTTGTACTGTTGGACATATCTGAATGTTCAGATTATCGGCGAGTCAAACATAGTTTTTGTTAAGTTTTAGAAGTAGAAAGGAGTCAAAGTTTAACAGACAATGATCGACGAGAGAACCATCTAATCTGATACGCATCGTTTGAACTCATAGTTGGTCTACAAGAACATCTTGGTGACGCTAGTGAAAGTCTCAAAGGATTCATGTCGATGATCTTTGGGAGTCAAGTCAAGATCGTTTTACTGAATTTTGAAAGAAAGTTTTATTCATAGATAGATCTGATGATCTATAGAATATCTTTTGAAGTTTAAATTGAAAAGAATGTTCGCCTGCCAACATATTGAATTTTTGAGTGAATTCAATTTTTTCTTATATGTTTGGGACAAATGACTATTTGTTTAGAAATTTGATATCTCGATTAAGAAACATTCTCTTCGGCTGAAATTACCAGGATATTCTATCTGTCATTCGACCTATTTATGAGCAAAATTCACAAGGATATGTTCCCAACTGATCAATTTGCTTTGGAATTTGGTCTCAGTGCAAAAGGTAGTCTGATGAGATATGAAAAATCTTAAAAGAACACGTCATTATTAGACATTTTGTTTCGGATTATCGGCATTTTACTGGAATTTCAGTCTCCGGCATGGTAAATACCAATAAATTGAATGATGATACTTCGATCTGAGAATTTCATCTGAAAAGAATATTTTCTTCTCTGCATATTGAAGTTCTACGAAAGATGCTAATCGGAAAGGTAACATCCTTTTGAGCTGAAATTTTCAAAGCATTTTACTGACAACTAAAACTGTCTGTAATCGAAATTTCAAGTCAAAATAGTGTCATTCCATCTATTGGTATATATCATATCAGATGCTAAAATGCCTATAACTCTGAACAGAATACCTAATACAACTTCTCTTGTTGAAGTTGTTCACATCTCACTGAAGTCTAACTTATGTAGTAAGTTCGAATTCAAAGGCAATCAATCTGTTGAAAACATTGCTTCGTCAGTAAAACAATTATAACTTGACTCAAACAATTCATGATAATAAAACCTTTTAAACTTTTGCGGTAGTCTCACTGAAATCTCCTTATACACCTAATATGAATTCCAACGGTAGGTATTAGTTTGGATGGCTTATTCTCATGAGAAAAAGTTATTTTCTAAAATTCGATAGACTATTTTCAGATATTAGTTCAAATATTTTCATTGTATAAATTACTAAATGCTACTGTGTCTTCTGATCGAAAGCTGTAGTATAGAAATAAGAAAATATTTTGAATAAATTTGATTTAAATTCTACATTATACATGTCGATAACTTTGTTCTATCGTTTTATACATATTAAATCTAAAATAAAATAAACTCTTTAGAAAAAAGCTGAAGACAGTCAAAAAGTTTTAAATCAATTAAATAATAATATGGATTTAACAATTCCACTTTATCAAGAACCAAATGATCTTGAATCAATAGAAAAAATTCGAACACAGTATGTTTGTTTTTAAATTTAAATAAAACGTTGAAATATTTTCATTTATTAAGATATATGAATGTAATGAAAAATCGTTTAATAAATTTATTAAAAAAAAGTCGTGAACGTTATATGCATCGAACAAAATTTGAAAGTGAAAACTATGATCAAGCATATCAAGAATGGCAAAAATCAATTGAAAAAGATGAAAAATTAATTTTAGCTAAAGATATATCAACATATCGTGAAACATTTGAAAAAACATTTCCTGAATTGCGTAAAGCACGTGAAGATAAAGAAAAAAAACATACAACACAAAATACAAATGATTCATCATCATCATCAACTGAACAGCAACAACAACAACAACAACAACAACAACAACAACAAATACCAACAAATATAAATACAACTGAACAAGAAAATGAAGAAGAAACAAATGAAAAAATGCGCAAATCATCTGTTATACCACCTATTATGTATGATAGTTGGCAACGTAAACATCAATATTTTAATCAAAATGGTTTAATAAAAGTTGATGCTGCATTATTTTATAAAGATCATGCAAAATTACCTTATTGGTCAGCTGAAGAAAAACAAATATTTATTGAAAAATTTACTCAATCACCAAAAAATTTTGGTTATATATCATCATTTCTTGAAAATAAAACAACAGAACAATGTGTACAATTTTATTATATAACTAAAAAAACAGAAAATTATAAAAATTTATTACGTAAACAATCACAAACGAAAAATCGTAAAACAAAACAAAATACAACAACAACAGTTACATCATCAACAACAATTGAAACAACATTAGTTACAAAAGTTACATCGAATACAATTATTTCATCAACATCACAACAAATTCTTGGATCAGAAACAGTTTGTTTTATTTATATTTTATATATTTTATTTCAATATCATTCTTTTAGGATATTGATCGTTCAACAGATCGAACCGATAAGTAAGTCTTTGATCAAAACTTTTAATGTATTATTTATAACTAATTGACATCGATATTAATTACTAATTTCAATTAGTTTAGATTAAAAACTACTGCAAACTATTCTCAAACATAATATTAGTTGTCAGATATAAAAGACTAATAATGATAATAAATTCATAGGAATTAGATATAGATTTATGGTTGTCATTACTGACAAGAATATAACAATAATTAGTAGCGTGAAAGTTTTGCCGAAAAATATTCATGTATTTTTTGGTTACATAAAAACATTTGGTCACAGCTAGAATCAGATTTTTTCGCTCTTTCTATAAATGTATTCAGAATTTCCTTATGGAATAAGATTAGATTACTATCAGAGACTCTTTCTTGCAGTAGAAAATCCTCTTGAAGCAACGATCCGATGGTCGTAATAAGAGGTCCTACACTTCCTAAAAAAAATTGAAACTTTAATTAGTTCATTTATATTAAAATATGTCTAGTTTTCAGAATTTGCACTGAAAATCATAAAAGACTGAGATCAGCAGTATTTCTCGACGTTTTGAAATCCTAAAAATATCTTCAGAATTGTTTTAGTTTTCTGAAAAATCCGTTTAGTGAAAAATTACGGAAATAAATGTGACATAATACAAGACCTAGGTCTTCCATTGCCGGGGGGACGGGTGGAATTAGGATTGTTTCAAAAGGTCCAAAATAATGGCTATATAGAATATTATTTTGATCATTTTTTAAGATAGAGTCCGCCGAGTTAGTCCAGAATTAGAATCCGATAGGCTTTAGTTGAAGCTATTTCAAGACATAGTTTTCGAATTTTTTCGCAACATTGACAGAATAGTTGTTTAATGTTAGTCCAGAAGCAAAATCTGAACATATATTCGGAAATAGCGAGAAATTCTCATTCGAACTCTGATAGGTTGGTTTTTAGTAGCAGAAAAATGAGCGAATATTTTGTGCTAAGACTTTCGTGTAATAGTTTAATTGACGAATGAATATTCTGAGTACAAGAAAAACATTTTTTTAGATGAAATGTTTTTTACAAGTAAGTCATACATAGATTAGAAAAAGCTAAAGAAAATATTGACACAATTTGATATAGATATCAATGTTTTACTATGAATTTTCTATAGGTATTTCACTGGCCAAAGAAATTTAAACTTTCAAATTTTGCTCACATAAAATGAAGACCTCGATTAGAATTTTTCGATCAATTATTATTTTTTTGTTTATTAACCAATCTGTAGAAAAAGACACTTTTATGACTATTGTTTTATCTATAGATACTTTATCTAAGAATTTCTGTTGAGAAGTCGCTGTGACCGAAGTTATACGACTGGGCAAATTTTAGACTAAAGTTCGAGATTACCTGAAAAAGTAAAGTGCAGAAGAAACAATTATAAGGAAAAATCTCAATTTAGCCGAACTATAATTTGCGTTTACATCTTCTGTAATTATTTCTAATCTAAACATCTTCTATGTCTGAACGAAATTTGAATAGAAAAGTTTTCTATCACTCGAAGACATTTGCTTGTTAAACATTAAGCGAAATATAAATGAAATATTTAAATAAATTGTTGGAAAAGTCAATATATATATATATCTAAAACAAATTAATTTTTTATGCTTGATTATTTTCTATGAAGTATGACTTCAAGGTATTTATATGTCATCAGATAAAAATCTAATGTCTTCATTACACTTTAACTAAGTTTCGTACAAATCAAAGTTCTCTTTTAATAATGAAAACTTCAGATCAATTCAAATTTCTATAAACATAATCAAAGACTTTCTAATTTCAAACGGATACATATACTGATTGATTGTTTGAATATCTAAACGGATGAAAATCAATAACGCATAATTTCTAAATGATTATTTCAATGAATAGAAAACTATAGCAGACTATATTTTAGGTTTTTCTAAATTTAGTTTTTATACTTTAATTTCGAAGCAAACTCCCGTGTTAAAAAAATTTGTTTTTCTTATAGAATAAATTTTTTGTTTGCATTTTTAATGTTTTTTTTCTTATTTTTCAGTGTTGACGAACGACGTGATATAAGTATGTAAAAATTCTTAAGTATATTCGTCAGTTTAAGAGATAATGTTTTTGTTTTTTGTTAGATTCCGGTGATACAAATGAAGAAAAACGTTCAAATAAAAAGTTTGTTACTCTCTTTTTATTCTATTTATCTTTAAAATAGTTTTATTTGTAGTCGATGTCAACTGTTATCTTGTACAACAGAAAAATCTGGTAAAAAGAAAAATCGTAAAAATCGTTTACGTGCATTTCCAACAAAATGGAACGAATTGTCAAATGAAAATCAAGAAGAAATACGTCGTTCATTGCGTAAATTCATTATTTACTTATAAATAACAAAACAGTCGAATTTTTTTTTCTTTGTTTTTGTAGAAATTCCTCTAAACGTTCATCGTTGTTGTACACGTTGTTATGACAAATTAATTATTGAAGTACGACAACGAAAAGTTAGTCAGCCATTAGGAGAAGATGATGATAATGATGAATCAGAAATAACAGTTCATCAAAATTCAAAACAAGATGATGGTAACATTACACTTTACGATTATCAGATAATCTTATCATAAATTTGAGCTAAAGCAAAGAGAAGAGAAAAAAAATCCTCCTTCATATAGACTTTAGTTTTGCTTAAATTTAAATGTTCTATCAGAAGTTCTTAAACGATTTTAAAATTTATCATTCTTGCCCATAGAACAAGAGTAAACTTTAGCATATTATTATACTACACAAATTAAAATCAATAGGTTATACTGAATGATGAAACCTTGAAAACCTGGATATGTCCTCTGTTATCAGCTTTTAAGTAATTTGTACCGATAAAATGTAGTCAAAAAAAAAACAATGAGACTAATATTTTAATCCCAGCGATGCTGATGTGGAAATATATCCAACTGTCGGATATGATTTGATTTCATATTATGGCTGTGAGTAGGCCATGATAAAACTAAGAAAGGCTTAAAATGATTAGGATCCATGATGACCTATTGATGAAGAATTATAGGTGTTTTAATGGAACTTTTATTGAGAGCTAACGAGTATAGATTCGAGGTCAATGGTTCCAATTTCGATTCCTAAAATGTATCTTTGGAATGGGTAACCTAATAATAGTATACCAAATAACTCATGTAATAATTCTTTTTTCGAACACTTGTTTGACTATTTTCGATTTTCTATCTGTGGTAAAAATTTCAGCTTGATCGGTTGGTACCGCCTTCGAGAACGAGAAACTGTGGAAAAAAAAGTCTATTCTTAATTATACTTTTAGCCATTTTAACTTCTCTTATCATCCAATTGTGAGAATAACATATAGCTTATCCCTGGTATCAACGTTGATTTGCCTTTCTGACTTTAGAGTATGCCACACTTGAACAACTCCTCACTTATCAGTAAAAAATTTACGCTTCCGGTTTCAATTCCGGTTTCAGCTCAGTTCTTAGTTTCCTTTTTTTCCGAACCATTGAGCTCTACTATAGGCGAATGTAGACGAAGAAAAATGACACATATTCACACCCACACTAACACCTTCGTGTTATTCATAATGTTTATCATTGTCGAAGCTATCGACGTCATACTCTATAGTAATTGAGTATAAAATCAATGTTTTTCATCTAGTAATTAGTTTCAATGGTTTGTTGTTGCCATATGCAATAACTATGATTTTTTGAAATCATTCAAGAATTTCTGAGATATCCTATATAATATTGCTTGAATCTTGATCTTTATATCAGCATTGAACTACTATCCATTTCAATATATAATATATTCCACTGTTTTTTGAATAACTTTTGATAGAAATATTATAGAGACTTGTAGTTTTCATCATTCGAGAGAGAAGATTCGGAATCATCGAAGTATCTCGAAATTAGATTGGTCAAGAATTCTCCAGTCGTCTGCGTTCTTGGTGAAGACTTTTGAAGACAATATTCTGAATGTATTTTTCTTTTGATTTCGAGTTTTAATACAACTAATCGATAGAAGAAGTTCTACATTTCAGTCAATTGATCTATGATCATTCGAAAATGCAGTTAGGTAAGAGTAATTCCCAATGTAGCGTCGAATCGTGATATTTGTTTTTTTTAATTCGACCTAATCGGAGAGTGTTATCTCAATTTTTTCGAAATGTTGACTTCGTTCCATGAAGTCTGATTGTTGAATTTCCAAAGTATTGATATAGCAATGTCAGATCATTTCGAATTTATAAAACAAATATCACGTTTCGACTTAGTATGATCAATTTTCTCTGTCTAACTGCTTTTCCAAGTGAGTTCAGATCAATTCACTGAAATCGAGGTTCCCAGCAAAAGTTTGACTATTTTCGAATGGAAGAAACTAGAAATGTTAGTCTTGCATAGATCCAAAGAGAAGAATTTATTCTATCGATTAATCCTATTAAAATTTGAAGTCGAAAGGAAAATATCCACAGAATATTGTTTGTGAAAATTTTCGTCAATAACTCACCTAATTGATCGATTGCAAACCAATCAAATTTCGATAAAGTTCGATGACTCTTGGATGATTTCTTTTGAATGTTGGAGAAAACCGTAGGTATCTATGATATTTCTATGAAAAGTTAATCAAAAACCAGTAAAGCACATGATATTTTGACCTAAATTTGATTTATTTAGTAATAAGAATAAAAAAATCGTACAGATCGAATTCATTGATTCATTTTTTTTTTCTTTAGAAGAATGGAATAAAACAGAGATCGATGCATTTACACAAGCAATTAATAAATTTCATCATGATTGGACACAAATAGCTGAATATGTTCATCGTAGTGAAGAAAGTTGTCGAGCATTTTATATAAAACGCTATAAAAATGTTTCACCTGTTGATGTAAAAAAACCGAAAACAAAAATTTTCATTAATATAAAAAAATACAACGAAAATTTCTTTTTATATTTTTTTTTCTAGCAGAATATTGATGAAGATATTGGTAGCATATCAGGTTCTGAATTAGGTCAAAGCAAACAAATTAATGATGATAATCAATTAAAAACAATAAATGAAGATAGTAATGATTCAATACATGGTATGGTAATTGATGAAGGTGAAGAACAAGCAGCAATAATTGAAGAAAAACCATCGAAATCAATTCCATTAGCTACACATCTAACAACAATAACATCACTTGTTGAAAAAGAAATATCAAAAACATTAAATGAAACTGAAAAACGTTCATTACATAACATTCATAATAATAATAATAATAATACTATCAATACATCACCAGAACGATTAATCAATAATACCAATAATAATAATAATATAACTCAACCACCACCACTCATCACTCTTTCAAAATCTCAATCACCAGCAACACATTATCAATATTCACCTCATCCTCAACAACCATATGTAAATAAAGGTTCAATTATGCGTGGCACACCTATATCATCAACAACACCAACAAATAAACCAATTGCTGTCGATATATCATCAACACATTCTCATCCTCATCATTATAATAATCCAAGAAATGAATTTTCACATTTGAAATCACCTAAAATATTAGATCGAAATATTGAACAACAACAACACCAACAACAACACCAACAACAACAGCAACAACAACAACAACAACAACAACAACAACAACAACAACAACAACAACAACAACAACAACAACAACAACATCATCATCAACAACAACAACATTTACTTCAGCAACAACATGCAGCTCATATGCGTCATTATCCTCACCCACAACAATATTTACAACAGCAACAACAGCAACAGCAGCAACAACAACAACAACAGCAGCAACAACAACAACAGCATAAGACTTCAACAAATAAATTAGATCCATCAAATACAGATACATTTGAAACATTACGAGCTGATTACGTAACATCGAAATATCTTACGACAACACATTCACCAAGTCATGAACGGTAAATTGATTAAACATCTTCTAGTCAACGAAACATTGAGTAGTCTTATAAAGATTGCAGCATTACTCATTTTTGTGTTAAAAATTGTTTGAAGCACAGAGCTCATATATATTATTTAATATGAACAAGCATGCTCCAAGGTCGCCTTTATCTGGATTCAAGAACTTAAGATCCGATAGGCTCTATTCTACATGTTTCTCAGGTGACTCGTCTGAGAAGTGTGCAAGGTGCTCTAATTACCGAATACAAAAAACCAGAAAAAAGTATCTTGTATCTTCGGGCCGTCTGTTCTAATCCGATTAGAAAATTTCATTGAAAGTATCAAAGTACGGTTTGATCGGGTTCGAACATTATGAATCCGATGTACTCTAGTTGCCAGAATTGGGAGATAATCGATTGGAAGTTCTTTGCTAAAGTTGATCGGATTGAGAGAAGCTGAGCGACTTTTGAAGAAGAAAACATAAAATAAACAGTAAAACAAGAACGTGAATTTCTCGTGATTGGAGGTCACCACTGGATATGAATAATGAGATCTAAAACAAGATGTTGTTTTCAAGGACATCTTTTTAAGTTTTGTCATCAGTGAGAATAACTTACTCTTAAGATCATATTTTTTGTGGAACATACATATTTTTCGAATTAAAATAATAGTGTATATGAATTTTAAATCGAGATTTTGCAACTCTTCCATTATAGCAACGAAGACGGGGAGAAGACTAATAATCATTAAATCCATTGCAATAGCAACATTAGGTGTTCTACTTCTTTTCCAGAGTTACTTATCAACAAACTGACAAGCTTCTTGTTTTGTTTATATATTCTTAAATCCATTTAAGATATGAAGAATAAACTATTTGATCAAATAAATGTTTGAAAAAAATCTTGTCGAAAATGATATATATTATTAAATTGAATTTTTCTTTTGTAGTCAACATCGTCCTGGTCCTGAGCAAGTTTCGCCTTCTCAAATATCTCCATCAATGGGTCAATCATTACTTCCTCCACCTGCAGCAATCGGTCCTCCTACTTCAAATTCTTCTGTTCCACCATCACCACATTCTCATCATTCACAACAACAAGCTGCTTTTCTAGCTGCTTCACAATTACTTGCTTCATCAGGCGTGTATCCACAAGATTTATTATCAAGTGGTCTTTTACCATATGCATCTTATTATGGTTCATCACCAACTAATGCACCATTCTTATTTGATCCTCGTATTATGCATGAATATGCTAGTGCAGCAGCAGCCAATAATGAACAATTAAAAGGTTTTGTAAAACTAAAAATAATGAAAAAATTAACAAAAAAATTAATATTAATATTTTCTTTTCTTATCATAGCTGAACATCATAAAGCAGCAATGCGTTTAAGTCGGCATCATCATCCGTCATCTTTACGTGGACATTCACCACCCGATCCATCTTATTCTGCTCAATCATCCAAACGACATTCATATGATTTAGGATATTCAACAAATGATTATCCAACATCTATTTGGCATACACCAAATATGGCCAATGCTCAGCAGCAGCAGCAGCAACAACAACAACAACAACAAATGCATGCGCAAATGAAACTTAATTCTGGAGCAAATGAAAATCCATTATTAAAGTTAAATGAATTGTCTCGATATTCATCAGCACGTGCTGCCGAAAGAAATAGCCGGTAAGAAAATAAAAAAATAAGATTGAGATTCTATAGTAGTGGACAAAAGTTTTTCCTTCTACCAGATTCAGCTATTATAGGTACTGAAAATCTGAAAATTTGTGTGCGCAGTCTATCAAGCATTTAAACCAAAGCCATTAGCTTGCCCTGATTGCTCACAACACAACGGGGCATTATGATAAATGGTAATCGATAGCACTTATGTTTCCTTTAAACTTTATACTTCAGAAAAGAAAAGGTTTTATGGATCGACTGGTTTCTCGTTACTTACGGCTATGTTCCAGCTATCCACACTTTTTTTCATTTTATCGAGGCTTGTAAATCCATGCTACTATCCATTTCAAAATATAATAAACTACACGATTTTTTCAATAGCATTTGATAGGAACACCATAAAGACATGCAGTCTTCATCATTCTAGAGAGATGACTTAGAGTCATCGAAGTAGATCGAAATTTGATTGATCAGTTATCGATCAATCAGATGAGCTTTTGGTGAAGATTTTTGAAAATGATATTCTGAAGCTATTATTCTTTCGATCTCCACAAGTTCAACATTTCCAGCTTGTTCCGTTCGAAATTTATAAGACTTTTTCTGAGATCTCTAATTCCAACCAATTGAACTGTGATCGACCGGAAAAGCAGTTAGACAGAGATAAATTATCATGATTAGTCGAATGATAATGTTCGAATCTAAAAACACACATTATCGTTCAACTCAACATGGTGAATTATCTCTCTCTCTAGCTGCTTTTCCGTTGAAGGACATATCGATTGGCTGAAATCAAGAGTTCAGAAAAAGTCTTATAACTTTCAAATCGAACAAGCTAGAAATATCAGCCTTGTGTATATCAAAAGAGAAAATCTTTTTCTATCGATTGGTTCTTCTAAAAGTCTAAACCAAAAGAAACATAGCTTCACAATATCGTTAATTGTTGACCAATCAACTTTCGATATACTTCGATGGTCCTATGTCTTCTCTCTTGAATGGTGAGGGCTGCAGATCTCTATCATGTTCCTATGAAATTTTATTCAAAAAAATAGTTGAGTACTTTATATTGTGCAATAGGCAGTAAAATAGTGACCATTTTAATATGCCTATTCGAAACACGAAAAACTCCTTTCTGCCATTTATGAAACCGTAATTCAATAATATGTCAATGAATCGAACTCAAACTTTGAGAGAAGCTTTGCGTGTCGTTGAGCATTATTATGTACAAGTATGAAAAAAAAAATTTCTTCTAAAGGGAAATGCATGTCAATAATCATCGTGCTAATGTGAGAGCTGAAAGACATCCAGAGATAATAGTTTTACAGTAAATTATATGATATTTTAAGAGACAAAACACGATATGCGAAGTTCAACTGTAAATAAAACTTTAATAGACAGTTTTCTCAGGTTAAAAACTTGGTCTCATCTACATTCTTAGTGTAGTATGTGCACACAAAATTCCAGATCCTCTACATGTATGAAAGCTGAGATATGCCGGGGAGATGAGGGAGCTTAAATCTGACTTTCTTTTAAAAAAAAATGTATGACCTTGCTTGCTTGTAGATCACCAGATGATTATCACCATCATGTAAATCAACCACGTGGTACTACAGAAAGTCCATCTATTCATTTTCAACGTGTTGAAGCTGCTCACAATCATCATGTATGTTTAATTGTGGAGGAAAAAAAATAAAACATCATATTTATTTTTTTATTAGAAATTATCTTATGATAAGTCGAATCCTAATTTACATTTTACTGATCATCCAACAGATGGAAATTCATTAAATTATATGAGACAAACTTCAAATGTACATAAACCTCAAACAACTCATCCTTCACCTCATCGTCATCATCAACAGAATACAAATTCAAATAATCGTGCATTAGTTCCACCAATACAAAATTCACAAATTTCACCTCACCATTCAGCTTATCTAATTCATAATCGTCATCATACATCAATTGATACATTATCATCTCAACGACAACAACAATCTCCTCATCACCATCAACAACAATCACATTATTCACAACAACAACAACAACAACAACAACGAACATCAGATCATAATGAATCAATGAGAAATCCTAAAGAATCTATTTCAATTCAAGAATTTATTAATAAAAATGTTAATGAATTTGTTAATAAAAATGTCAATGAATTTGTTAGTTCGACAAGTAAGAAATTTATAAATTAAATAAAAATTTCATTATTACATATGAATATTAAACCTTTTTCATCTATTATAAATGAAATTTATCGTGACCTTCCGTAATAGAAGAATCTAGGAAAACAATTACCATCTGTGTAATCCAGGGTTGTTTAATGTGAAATAGTTTGATTGATTATAGTGTATGACAAATTTATTTTTAGCTTAATACGACCACTGTTCTCTTTTCTTATCATGAAAAAAGAATCGTGCTTGAACTTATTATCATGCGTTGAATATACTCCCTTGTCTCTTTTTTATTTTTATTCTTATCAACAAGATGTAAATAATCGCCAACAACCTTGTTTAACACGTTTTTTTTATTATTCTATTGTACCGTAACTAATAATGTTATTATTGCCTTCATTTCGCTTACAATTCATAACGACAACATACATATAGCTATTTCATAAATTCATCTATTCGTTGTTTTCTTATTTTGACAGAATATAATCGAAAGTACACATCAACAGATAAAGAACTAAGTAATATATCAACATTCAAAATGACATTATAACATTAGGAACATTTTGTGCTTCTTAGCTTAGATAGTACGATAAATTAGAGGTCATAATTATCAAAACTTTTCACCGAAAACAAACTTATGATTATTACTGTGAAATTCGATAACATTTTTATCTCTAAAGACTTCCTGTTAAAATTTTATAATACAATGAATATATGTCATATCGAGTGATGGAGTATTAGTTTATTTGGGTTATATTATCAAGATATTATATTCGAGTCTTGCCATCATTAGGCATGGAATGACATTGAAAAGTTAGTAACTGTTATTTGTCTCAAATAATGAATCCGACAGTATCCTGACAACGTTATAAGATACATCGATTCTTGTGGCTAGTATATAATACAGTAGTATGGATATGAAGCTTAAGTAATTAAGCGCAAGAATTTTGCATCAAACTAGTTTTCTGTTCAGAGCCCAAACTAAAAATACTCATAGGAAACGATAGTAATTTAATGCGAAAGTGTCTTCGAACAACCTTCTATACTACAAAATAGTGAAAAGGAGAAATCATTTTCTTATTCTTTTTCTTCTTTTTCTTTGTTCTCTTCTTCATGTCAAAGAAGGCTGTTCATGGATAAATGTAAACAACAAGAAGCTGTAGTTTATATTCTTTGTGTTCTACTGAAAAGCAATCGATTTTCTCTAAAGGATAAAACAAGAAATAACTACTGAGTTATGCTGACCTTTATGTGACATTATATATATATATATCGAGATATACCTATTATAACAAATAGAATTATGATTTAACATATTTAGATAGTGATAATAAAAGTTCAACTAATGATTTATCATCATATGAATCTCATAATAATCAATCAACACGTACTCGCCAAACAAGTGTAAGTTAAATAGTTCATTTATGTTTTTCTTTTTTTTCTTTTTCTTTGTAAATAATCAATAAATTCTAGAATTCTGATCAACCAATATTAATCGATGGTGATGATGATTCGAATCCAATTGAACAAACTGATATAACAAATAAAACAAATACAGAAAGTGAAATGTTTGAACGACGTCGTGATAGTTCCATTAAGAAAATTCTCTCCGATCAACCATTAGACAAACAAGAATATGTTGGTAAGAATTAAGTTCCTCGCCGTGCCCTTCTCAAAAACCGATCTTGTGTCAAATATATTAAATTCGCATAAAACTTTCACTATCTGTTGAGACTAGTAGAGGAACTAAGGTAAAATTTACAACCCTATACCATAACGTGTTCGAGAGATATTCAACAAATAAAAAATAGTTCATTTGGTACTGTCGAGATACTCTGGGAATCTTTATTCGATATACTCAATTATAAGTTAACAACATATCAGACTATCATGCCCTTTGTTTTTTATTTTTACTTTTAAAGCGAAAAAAGTTTGCTCTACTTAAAATTTCTCAAAAAAATGGCGTTCTTATTATAAAAGTGGTCTTCTATATAATGGTACCAAAGCTTAATTCTAAAATAAGGAACTTTGTCATGTTCTGCATCTTGACATGCTCTTTTCTAACAAAAAAAAACCTTGTTTGTGCAGTCTCTTGGGGGCAAAGACGTGGGATTCACAAATAATTTAGCCTCATTAAATTAATACAAAATAGATTAAGTGAAATGTAGAAAATTTTTTTCCGTGGATCGTGTATACAACATGCTTTTTTTGAAAGCTTAATATTTCGAAGAAATTTCGTTCAAAACTTTTGAATCTTTTTCTGCTAGTCGAGTTCTCTGAGTGCAGTAAGTTTCAAACCAAAATTCGATAGTTTAATTAAATCTCAATAGGAATCAAAATCCTTTTAGGGCTTTTACTAGAACACTATGTAGTATCTGTAGGCTAAAAATTATTGAAATCGAAAGACGGCATTTGAAGAGACTCCCTCGTAAGTCTTGTTGTTAATTTTGTTCAATACCATTTTCGATTGCGAAAGAAGTCTGATGTCGGTTGTGCTCGATTGTTAAAGTCTGTAATGGGTAGGGGAAGCAGGCGCAAAATTTCGACTTAAAATTTACATTCACTGTTTTCTTCGAAAATATATATGAGATACATTAAATATATAGAATAAAGGCTCATAGAGAATTCTAGATTACGCGATCAACAGAGAAAAAGGGAAAAAATATATTTACAACAATCATAAAAAATTTTTGGCAGAAAACGAGATGGCAAGTAAAAAGTCATGTCGTTTATGAAAAATCAGACTTCCGGTTATCATCTCAAATTTGATTTTTCTGGCGGAAATTGATGTTTTCTAAGGCGAGAGGGGTGTGGGCGCTTAAATTATAATGAATACATTAAAACTCATTCGTTCTTTTCTTTCTATAGAACTTAATCAAAAAGTTCAAAATAGTGCTATTGGAGCATCTAAAGTACATTTAAATAATGATCCAACTAGTGTCGAACGACCAAGTGCTACTGGTGAACGTAAGTATTTTATAGCAAAGAAAAACAAACTATTTTGATCTCTTTTTTAGGCACAAGATCTCGTGGTTCAATCACAATGCGCATGCTAATGGGTGCAAACGATATATATGCTGATGGTAAAGCTCAACCATTGGCAACCAATGGTCAGAATAAGTTTTTATATTTGAATCGTAATTTATGTTTTTTTTTTAATATAAATAGAATCACAATCAACGAAACGTTCCGCATCTCCTCCAACTGATAAATGTGAAAAAATTGAATATTTAATTCGTGATGAACTTGATCGAGCATGTCCAACTATGATTAAACGTGATGGTAAAAAGAAAACAAACAAAAATCAATGATATTATTTTTATAAAAATTTTTTCTTTTTGTTTTTTCATTGATTTTTTAGACGCATTAAGTATATTTCAAAAAGCATCGTCAAATCCACAACAACAACAACAACAACAGCAAAACTCAGCTAAACGATTGCGGTATAAAATAAAAACCAATTCTATATGTTGCAGACAAAAATTAGAATTCAACTAGAGATAAATTCATACAAAAAAAAACAATTAAAACCCGAATAGAATAACTATTTTTATATTCATCTATTCACTCATATTTTTACAAACCACCTCATTTTGAATAACATTTTATCAAACAAAAAACTCTTATGTTTTTACATGCACATTGTTTTTTAGCGCGCTAGCTTTTACAATCGCAAGTACGAACCGCTGTTAAATTCGATTCAAACATTTCTTTTTTTTATGAAACACGATATAAAGGAGTATTGAAATATAAGGGTGAAAATTTGAACTCCCGACAGACCGCGCCAGACGCTTCAGCAACGTCTACACTTTCCGTCACAGACGTTGTTGATATACTATCAAAGACCGTATATAAATAACATTGCGTTATAATATATGAAGTACTTTCTTATCGCATTTCTGAAAGATTCTGTAAAACGATAACAAAGGAATGTGTTTCAAAATAGACCGAATAAAACAATCTTCCTGTGATTAAAAATAGTAGCTGCATCGTGTTCCATATTTTAATTCCACAGAAATTACATTAATAGTTTTTATTAGATTGTAATGCGCTTATCTACAGGAACATTATGATTATAGTTTTTCCCTGACTTTTTTTTTTTTATTCTACCCTACTTTTAGTAAAGCAAGTGATTATATCAATCTATCTCTAGTCGAATTTTAATTTTTGCCTACAATATATATATAATGGATGAACTATAAATAATTGCACTGCTGATATTTTCCCAATCCTAGGTCAATAATTTCGACAGGTTCCCACCGGAAAGAAGTTATTGCGGCTGAAAAATTTGGAAACAGGGATCTGGTGATCGGATTTTTCTAGTTCCGACATTAGGCAATAGTGCTAGAATTTCTACACAAAATGCTATTTTATTTAACAAAGACAATCTTTTCCATTTTTTAAAATCAAACGTAATCTTACAGTAATATCAAGCAGAGAATTGTTTTTTATTGTTAGGAAGGTTAATGAATATGTAGACATTTTTATTTTCTTACTCAATTGTTTAATTGATATTTTAATATATTTTAATTATGATTATTATTGTACAATAATATGATGTTTCGTTGCTGCCAACAACGTCTTCAGATAAAAAAAAATATAATATGTACATTAAATGATACATTTTGCAACAGAATAACTATAAAACACAACACTGTATCACTATGAAACTTAAGAAAAATAAACGTCTATTTTGTTTTGCTGATAGCAATGAAACGGCACATAATTGTATAAAAATTAAAATTAAAATATTTTAAATAGTCGATTAAACAATTAAGGAAGAGAATAAAAATATTTATAAATTCAAGTATCATAACTTCAACCAGTTGTATTTCGTAAATTATTGTCTAATAGTTTCAAACCAGGCAAATTCAGTCACTGATTGTTCTCCGATATCAATACATGAAAATGATCTATACACTATTTTTGACTAAGACAACGGCTTGTAAACTTTAATCATATTCTGCTAACATCAAATTTGCAAAACAGCTCATTCTTTTTTTGTGCTGATCAGTCACGGTTGACTTTTTAACCTTTCTTTTATGAAAAATAGCTAGGATCTTCATGTGATAGCAACAGCACGCATCTTGTTTTAATAGGCCATTTTCTTGTTGATCTCAGTTTCTTGTAAAGTAGGCGCTAGTTCACCTTTGACATATTTAGTTATTTTTCTTTTTTTTTTTTGATAGACTAGGATATTGAGAGAACTAGCAGGGGTGTTCCGAGTTCGTCATGACTCGGGGAAGTTACTGACTCAGGAAACTGATTGGAACACATTTACTAACGGTGATCTAATTTAGGAGAGAGATTGAGCTGTTTTTTTTTTGGAAAACATGAACAAGACAAACACTGGAACTCTGCTGGACAAAACGAAAACTTTTCAAGAATGGGTGGCACCCATTCGAAACACCCCTTAGAGCCATTGTTGTTGATCCTTCTTATCTATAAGCTATCTATTCGTCTTGAAACCACTCCATTTAAATCACAAGAAATTCTTTGTTATTTCACGACTATTTTCATATTTTTTACAGTTGTTTGTATGTCTTAACTTTCCATTTCTATTCAAATATATCTACAGCAAGTTTAGAGTGTTATCATATAGAGTTTTTATAGAGAATTCCAAACCCTATCTTGTGATAATCAGAATCGTTTCAATCAAATTCAGAACAGATGAGAAATTTTGAAAATACTAACAGCCTTATTACTCATGGCTCATCCATTCTTTCTTTATATTTTAAACTTTTTTTTGTTTATAATTATTATTTTAAATAGACCATCACCAAAAGACGAAGAACAACGTCACTCATCTTTTTATCCTGAATCAACAACAAATACACGTGATCCATTTGCTTTACAACCACAAGCAAAAAGTCAACATCATCAATTAACATCATCAACGAATTTGGATAAAAGTTGGCAAACATATGTTCAACAACAACAATATCATTTATCAAATTCCTATACATCACAATTTCCTTCACGATCCTCACGTCCAGCAGGTTCAATAACACAGGGTAGTCCTATATCACCATCATTACGTTTATTAACTGATCAACAACAATATTCATCAGCAACAAATAATCAACTTGTTAATCCACGTTATTCGTATTATACAAATAAAAGTAACGGATTCAATTTTATTATTTATAGATAATATCTTCTTGTTTTTTTATCTAGATGAACAACAGTCTTCACCATCAGGACAATTATCAACATCACCACTTGATCATTCACCTAAAGCAAGAATTGTTCGAAGAGCAAATCAGGTAATTGTTCATGCACTGAGATATAAAAAAGGAATTAAGTAGAAGAGTCGTGGTTAATCGACAATTTGAGCGACATGAGAACAGTCAATATTTCGCTTCACGAAAACTATTATAGACACTCTGAAATTGATCATACAATTAAAAAATTTCAATTTATTCACTGTTAAACACTTTTATACTTGTAAACTAATGAAAGCATAGCTACAACACAAAAAAAGTTAGTCGGAATAGTAGCCCATCTTCAAAATATTGGCTTGTAAAACAAATTAGAAGCCAACTGGCCAAGTTTTTCTATAAATTTCATTATACATTTTCTTATTAAAAAAATTCGACTGACGAGGAAATACCCTAAGGTGATGTTTTACGTTTAAGATGCAACCCTCATCATTGCGTAGAATCTGTTGAGCCTAGAATAAACCTAGAGGGATTCTTCTCGAAAATAGACCACTCTTTTTGGTTTACATTTTTGGGAGATTTTAATGACTTAAAAAGCTGTCTATGCGAAACGTTTCAGGTCAAAATTCATTTTTGTGGTTTTTTTTAGAAATATCGTGCCAAAGGTAAAAAATTCAATGTAACGCTCATAATTTCAATTAGTACAGCGCATGAAGAAGAATCTTTCTAGGTCTCTTCTGATCTTACAGATCCTATGTAATGACTAGGATTTCATTTGAAACGTGAGGTATTGTCTCAGATGGTTCCCTCTCGTGAGAATAGATATCTGACTGAATATAACAGTTAATCTTTAGCAAACTATAGCTCTTGTTTTAATAGCTTTAAAATATATTATATAACATCAATAGATAAATTTGATAATTTAAATAAATTCCACTAGTGTTTCAAAGAAGATTTCATCATTAAAATAAATTGTGTTGAATATTTTAATTGAAAACTTATTATCTAATTTAGATACATTCATCTCCGTCTGATGTTCAACATGAATCAACATTATCGGCAAGTGGTGATCATGCATCCACTATAAAAAGTCCACCTACTAATCCAATACGGACTGATAGTAATACTCCGCCCATGATTGCATCACCAACAACTTCAATCTCATTAAATAGTTCACATCCACTTAAAAAACGTTTAATTAGTGAATATGAACTTGAACAACAACGAAATTCACCAGTTGTACCACCAATCACGACTACATCTACTGAAAAAGTTGAAACAACAGACGAAATAATGCATAATGCAAATATTGATATTCCAAAACATGATACAGAAAATGTTTCTAACGCTGAAGTAACTAGTGAAACAGCTACTAAATCTGTCGAAGAAACTGAAAATTCAACGTGAATTTCTTTCTTTCCTTCTTTCTCTCTTTGTTTTTAATCTTGTAAAAGTATTTTATTTTTTGCTCAATCAACCGGTCGTTGTATCTTGAATTTTTTTGTTGTTGTTGATTTATATTTAGCATTGAAACAGTGAACAAAAAACAAAGGCGAAAAAAAAAAACATGAATTTCTCGATGTGTTTTTTCTGTATATGCGTCTCTTTTGTACATGACGTTTATATTTAAAATCACAAAATTGTGTTTTTTTTTGTGTACAAATATATATGTCGAAATTTTTATTCTCCTATTCTTGGTATGTATGTATGTCTATGAGTTTTTTTTCTATAAAAACAAAGACTCTTCTTTTTCGTTGTTATATATTGTCGAGTTGTTCTTATTTGTTTTTCTTTTTTTTCTTTTGCTTTGTCCTCATTTATTCATTTCTAATAGAGTTGATGTGTATCAAAAGTCGAACATATATACAGACATTTCTTTCCTTTCGTTTTTTGTTAAAATTTGCTCTTCTCTTTTTTTCTCATTGCTTGTTGTTCTTAAGAAAAAAAGTTTTCTTTTTTTTCTCTTCTGTATCGTTCGTCTATTCAACATTTAAATAAAAGAAATTTTCGTATTTTAATTAATGAATTATGAAAGAGTTTCTAATGGATCAGTCTATATTATTGAATGTAGTGTTCTGTAATCTAATCAGGTGTTCAGAGCATGGATTTTGGTGCCGAGCATGAAAAACAAAATGCCGGTTCAGATTCCCGTATGATATCCTACTCAAATCTGACATAGCTATAAATGAGATCTAGACGTTTCAAAATATATTTGACTTTTTCAAAGTGTTATTTGTGCAAAAGCATTGGAGTGAAAACCGGTTCGATCATGTTGGAGCAATTTATTCATATGACGGAGTAACTCAATATATGAAGAATAAAATGAATTATCAAAAAGGTGAACAGGTATTATCGTGATAGAAAAAAGCATTCATGTATGTATCCATAATCATGACCTTTAGCACCAACACTACGTTTCATTTCAGCGTCATTAGCAACAAGCAAATGTATACTTAGCGAAATGGATCAGATTCTAGAATTAGAAAGACATCTAGTGAATGCTGAATCACTTGCTTTTTATGGAATTCAAGATGATGTCTTTTTTTACTACTATTTATAGAAGAAACTAAAACTTATATGAGCGAAAACTTGGCACGACCATCTTCGATTTGACTTTGATTCTTTAGAAGCATTGGTTTTTTTTTTTGAGCAAGTTCTTTTTTCATGAATATTAATAATAGTATTGGCCCTTTCAACTTACATCTAGTTAAAATGTAATTAGCAAATAATCTACTAACCTTATGACAGACAAGTAAAAAATTTCAGAATAGATTCAACGCCAAAAAATTTATTTAAGAAAAAATTTTTAGCAAGATCGAACTTCAAAAAAAAATCAGTTTCTCTAAACCGGTTTTCTAGATGCCTGTTGATGTCTCAGAACGAAATTTTTTGTTTTACTATTATCTTGAGATTTCCAATAAGGATTTTCATCATTTAGAATATGGTTTTGAACTTCTCATTCACATCGCGGACAACGAATAAACTCATTTTCTTTTTTTTTTTGAAAAACTTAAATATGTTTAGGAAAAGCTTTGCATACAGCTTTTGTAGTCAGAAGAGTTCTCTACAAAACGAGAATTTTTAAGCTTAAAGTATTTTTAAATGAAAACGTGCGCACTGAAAATCATTGTTCTTTTTTGTGTCAAGTAGCTAACGCTAATTTATCCATAATAGCTCGATGGAAGAAAAGTCTAAGGAACTGTATTTTTTCAGAGTATCTAAAGTAACTTGACATATAGCTGTGATATAGAAATTAGCTAAAAGAAATTTCCAATTCTAAAGATACATGAATTTTTATTTTTTGAAACTAGGTCGCTAACACATGGTATTGTACTTATATTCTTCGAAATTGTATTATTTCTAATGTCTTTCTGTATTAGTTTTGCATATATAATAGATAATTCATGAAAATGTCAAGTATTACAAGGGTAAAAATTGTAAACAACATGTTAGTTATATTTTCAACATTATTGAATCAATGTTTAGTGTTTCAAGTCTTGCTGTTTATCAAGAAATAAGAGAAGTAGACAATGAATTAATGATTTCATATCTGAAGTACCTTCATGCCAAGCTGTCAAACAGACGTGCATATGAAATCAAAATCAATAATGTAATTCAACTAGAGAAAATTATTAAAGACAGTCTAACCTTATATTTGTCTCCGTTTTCGGCTACCTTAAATTTTACTTTTTTTTTCACGTTGTTATTATGAACGTTAATTCTATATTTTGAGATTTGAATCTGTCAAATTTTTGACTTAGACTTACATCGATCTCAATAGTGAATAAGCAGCAGAATCCAGTTTTCATTAATGGGCAAATCTACGCTTAATATATGTTGAATTTATTTATTTTAAAATTCAAACTTAAAATCTATTGAAACACATTCTTAATCAATGAATCAACAAATCGTTAACTGATTGATTAATATATATTACGGTGGAAACGTTCAAGTTAATTTTAACAATTTAATCAATCAATTACAAGAGAAAAATTTTATCGTCTTCTAATATAAAAAAATTGTTTTGTTTGTACTGCGAAATTAATAATATCTTTGTAAATCTTTTCTTATCATTAAATCTCATTCAAATTTTTTTACTTAATTGTTTCAACAAAATGCTATGATCTTCTTAGACTACCTACAAAATCAATATTCAAATTCAAATATGATACTAATTAAAGTTTTAATAACAGAATTTCGTTAACAAAGTGTGAGACTTTCTAGGACATTCTAGCCTGAAATATAGGTGTAAAAAGAAAATTAATTTCTTCTTATAATAGAACTATAAATATTGATATTACCAGATTAGAGACACTAGAAAATCTAATATTTGAACTAATATCTGTGCTAGAACAAAAGAGAGCTGGATGTAAACTCAATAAATTAAGAGCGTCAACAGTAATCGTCCTGCCGTTTCCAGCGATCGAGAGAGACGAACAACGAATATCGTGATATCTGATGCAATGGGAGACAAAATTATTTTCAAACTCATTTTCTCCGCAAAACATTAGAGAAAAATGCATGAAAGCAATGTACCGTTTTAAACAAATATTGATAAATAGTCAGAAAATTAGTTAAAAAAATCAACAAAATTTTATCTAATTTAACTGAATAGATACGTGATGGGTTAATAGCTGTTGACATTGCCAAGTTATTGAGCTTGTACCTATCCCTCTTTAATTTTGACATGGACATAAGTTTCATTGACGACTTCATGTTAGCTCAGAAATCAATTTTGAAGATGATCTGAATGAGATTACAGCATGCTGTGAAAAAAAATGACTAAAAAGTCAATAACCCAATAAGAAACATCCATGATCACAAATCCCTATTGATTTTCTCTCGTAATAATAACAAAGTAAGACATAGCTCCAATGTGATTTATCACTTTGCAAGCGTGTCTAGTAAGTTGATGAGAAAAAAATCTGTTATCAATAAAATTTCGTAAAGCTTTCATTAGTTAATCAGGTATTAGATAAACAAGAAAATGCTTTTTTTTGTGTTAAATTAATATCATAAAAGCTTTCATTTATGTTTTTTATTCATGGCCATATTTAGTATAACTGCTATTATGAGTACCATAAAAACTACTAAACAACTCTGGCATATACTAATCTGACCATCGACAGACATGCCATCGCCTACATAAGAAAAGCAAGATAGAATGATAAATTGTTGCTATTTTTTTTCTTCTTTTCCTTGTCTTAGATATATTATGTGCTCATATTTCTCGAACCATCGGGCATCAGTCGTAGATCGATATAGAACAACACCACTGCTCCCAAATAACTCCACGGCTATGCATGTGTATACTACTTGTATGCGAATGGCAGGAGAGAGAGGGAGAGAGAAATACATATCCGGTCGTTTTTTTTGTATATCCTATATAGGCTATCCAGAGCAAAAGAAAAAGAAAAAAAAAAAGGAAACTTGGTTGCATCTTTTCATCTATCTATAATAGTAGAGAATAATTGCATTTGTACTGTTTTAGCCGCACATATCAGCCATTCTTTTCTCGCCGCAACAGTAGGACTTTAACAAGAGTAAGTCGATACAAAATATATCGTTTTTGCTGGTGTGTAATAGTATCTGTGTTTTTTGTTCAGTGTCAAGTGGTTCAGCATTTAGCAACGTACTCAAAGCTAAGGAAGATTTACAAAAATCTCCTGAACAATTAGAACAAGAAAAACGATCAGTTCTTGCACAACGTATACCACAATTACAAGTTGATGGAAAATCAAAGGAAGAACTTGCTGAAAAGGTTTTAATGATTAATTTTTTTCTTAAAATTATTATAAATTTTTTTTTCTACAGGCAAAACAATTACACAATCTTCTTCAACAATTATACGGTTCTATTTATGAATTAACAGAACGATTTGAGCGACAAAAATATGATGTAAGTAATCAAATAAATTTCGTTTTTTTTGTGTTATTTTAAACACACGTAAACGATTTTATTTAGATGGTTGAATTAAGTGAACGTGCTCGTCAAATTGAGAAAGGGTAAAGTCAATTATTATATTTAATTAATTAATTAAATTGATTTATTTTATAGAAAAGCTAAAACACGTAAATCAAATATTGTTCACACTGGTCTTGGCGGTGGTGTGTAAGTATTAAAAATTGTATTATGGAAACAAGAAAGAAAAATTTTCTTTTTAATTAATTTCAGTTTAACTGGTGTCAATGATGTTGCAGTAGGAGCACCGGTTTGTAATTCTAATAGAATTTTTCTTTGTTCAATTTTTTTGTTTCCAATTTTAGCAAAAAGTATCACTTTTCAGTCGATACGAACGTGGTAAGTTATCTGCTATTAATTAATAATGATACGAAAATAAATTTTTATTTAGTTACCGATCGTCGTACATACAAAGATCGTCGTGATGTTTGGTCTACAGAAAAGAAAGCAGCTGACTTTGTTCCAGAACGTCCAAAAGCTAAAATAAGACATAATACACCACCCCCTGAAGAAAACCCATTATATAAAACTAAAGGTGCTTCTCATGCTAAAGCTGAAGAACATCACGCAGAAGATTCAGTAAGTTATAATTGATAAAAAAAAATCCCATATGAATTATTTGATGTGTTTTTTCTTTTTCTTTAACAGCATCCGCATGAGGAAGAAGCACCAGCCCATGAAGCACCGGCTGAAGAAGAACCAGCAGCTGAAGAAGAAGAGGAAGAAGAAGAAGAATAAATTAATAGATTAAATGACGCTCATACCTTCTTATCATTTTAATCCTCTTTTTTATTCATTTCTCCTTATTCTTATAAATTTTATTTAACATCTAATAAATAAACAAATGAATTTATTCTTCAGTAGACATAATTATCTTTATAAGCTTTTTCATATGAATATGTATTGTGCTGATCGATTTTTTGATTTGAATTTATTTTCACGTTGATATCCTAGATCATATAAAATATAATATGTACTTATTGAACCGTTTAAACAAATATAAAATATTTTCATTGGTAGATTCCAAAAATAATGTAGTCTATTTATTCCAATATGTATTTATCGATGTAGTTGATGTTTGTGTTCATTTTTAGTATTATCATTATCTTCATTTCTTGAGAAAATACATAGTTGAATAGTGGATGATTGATAACTACAAACGTTACACTGTTTTATATGTAATTCAAGCATTGATTTGAGATTTTCATGTTCATTTTTATGTTTATCAATAATAAGAAGTGATAATGGCGTTATTTTATAATAAACTGTAAAATTTTGCACGTTAAATATTAGATTATAACTAATTATAAGATCAATAGGAAAATTGATTTGAATTTTATTTGATTGATAACTTGTTTGAATTTGAAATATTATTACCGAATAAAATATCACAAATATGGAAATTAAATTGAATAAATAGCAGACAAAGAAAAAATAAAATCGACCTGTATATTGAGCGTGATGAACTAAACAAATGATATCATGCGTATCATTTATTAATACTTAATCGGTCAGGTTACATGACTCTATGCTTTCTATGAAGAATTTTTATATGTACAGAAAAAGGAGAACGCTAAGGATGAATAAATGAATTGTTGAAATGTATATATATTATAAAGGATTGATTTAATTACTATCGATAAATTTTACAATAATCTAAATTTGCTTCTATGTGATATCGAAGTTCAGATTTGTTTAGTACAATTCTTCACTGACTCTGATCTTTAAACGGAAAAAAAAACAGATAGATCTTTCAAAGTTCGTTACATGCCTCATTGCCATTGCTGACACTTATTTATCCTTTCTTGCAATGCATCATTGATATATTGGATAACTCTATTATATTCTACTAGAACTGTATCAAATCTATTGTTAGTCGCATAAAAATGTTTGTTAAGATAGTTTTCAAAGAACTGCAAGCAAGTTTATTAGTTTTCTATTTATTTCTTTTTATTAGTCAAATTTTTTCGATAAAAAAAATTCAATACATAAGCAATCAATATCTTATGTGTATTCTGTCTAGATTATAATGCTGCTTGTGTTGAATTAATAATTTTCTTTAAATTTTTATGGTTTTTTTATTCATTAAATGGTTCATGTTAAATGTCAAAATCAGCTTTATATCGAGTCATAAAGCACATTAATTAATAAATCACTGATAAGAAAGTTGAACAACTTAAACAATAACATGCTAGTAGACAACATGACAATGAGCTACTATAATTGTTTGAACATCAAATGTTGCTTGATTTTTATTCGAAAGATTGCTTATAGCGATATTAAGATCATGGATTGTTATTTTTGATGGATTGTTTTTTTTTTGTATTACCTGTTAAATCTTTATTTTAAAAATATTTTTTCATATAAATAACGGTTTACTAGAATATTTCGTTGAACCCTATCGATTGTATCCATATAATAAAGATTAAGTGTATAAATTTTGTGTTTAATATAAATCATATTTTGGATATCTTTAGTACATAATTCTTTATTCTACTCAATATATTATTTTAAGGTTATCTCATTTAATTTATCTATTAAATTATTGGAATAGGTTTTTCTTGAAAAGATGTCATAAAATATTTTTAATTAACATGTATTTTAAATGGTCTTCAAATTACTATGAACTGATAGTTCCATCACATTCTTAAAAGTCATCATTCGAACTTGATATAATTGATCTTTTTTTTTCAAAATAACACAACAATTTTTAGCCAAACTCTTGTACTGATAACAACTGTTTCTTCTTATCTGCATTTGTTGTTACTTTCTCTGTTATCTTTTCCTGTGCTCATATTTCTTCCTTGCTTTTTCTCATTCTTCATTATAAACTTGTGTTATATAACGTAGACAGATTCTAGACATATGGTATGGTCAATAAACATCATTAGCAAACCTTGTAGTAAGCTATTCCCTCAATTTGACGTTAAAGAATGGATAAAATTTTCACAATAATTATGGCAACTCTTATGCCCAGCACGATAAAGTCATTCTATTCGATAAATCAGCACATGCTTCAAGTAATTTTAATACGATACTATGGTATTCTGCAGAAGAAAAGATCAAATATAAATTATGAATTGATGTTGTACGATTTTTTTATTGATTATATAATTGATAAGCAATTCGGTCATAGAATATATCATTATCATTTTATTTAGATATAATATTTTTGTGATGAATTATCTTGAGAGTCTAGAGACAATGTGGATAAAGAAGACAAGCCAATTTACACACTTCCATACCTACTTTATTTTCACTCTAATTTCACAGAATTCCATTATAAATCCAATAAATCAAGTTGATCAACTGGTTCTACTATTCCGGATTAATCTAATTTTTTATTTAATAAAAATACAAATTTGAAAGCTGCCACAGCTATTTAAATACTTGCCAGATAGTTATTTAAGATCAGATATGTACAAATATCTTCATGAATAATTGTTTCGTACGATGAAGCAATATTTAATAATTTACAGTACTAGTAAATAAATATTCATTGTTATAAAAATGAGAGTCAGCGATTTATTTAACGTTACTTACTGTTTTCGAGCAAGGACAGGGAGCTGGGCGCGAAAAATGAATGAATATATTTTGAGGGTTAACCATTGATTCTGTAGTATTATTTAAATATATTCGGAATGGGATTGATAAATCTCTTATCTGTTTAAATAGGTAGTATCTATTTGTTTATGTTGAATGTTTTGATGAGATTTGATTGAATGTAATACATTATTTCAGCATGTTCAATATTATTTAAAATATGTTGATAGCTATTACAACACGATCGTACCATTTATTTTCAGTATATTCGGTAGATTAGGTATTTCTAGATTGAGACCTAGAGTATGTTTTTCCAAATGTATTGTTATGTTTTTCAGCGTATCTTATTGTTTTTTTTCGTCGAGTTAGGAAGTGGGGTGCAAAGACATATGAAGATTTATTTAAATAGTTGAGCATTTATTTAAAAAGTATTTCTTTTGAGAAGCTGCGGAAAAAGGTCAATGCCTTAATATTTTTTGGAGCGTCTTGCAGCAGAACTCATAAAATACTTTTCTGAATTAGATATTTGAAATTGACTAAAATCTGGAACTATCGATTAAGAATGATCAGTCATCGTTTGTATGGACTGATTCTTCAAATAGCTTTGATTAGAAACAAAAGAATGCATTCTGTCTTAAGCATGCTCAAACTATACTGTAAGATGGAGTTTTAAGTTGAAGAAAAGGCATTCTAAATAATAAACGATGCGCTAAGATGGAGAAACAGTCTTTTTTTTCTAGAAATTGATATTGAGGCGTTCCTTTATACAGATGTCGTTTTTCATAGGTACATGGAAGTAATTGTGCTGTGACTTTGATGACTTGTTACTCGACTTTTAGTCAATATGTGCTCTTTGATTAGATTTGATGAATTTATGGATATCGGGATTCATCAGTTTGCTTTGATATTGTAGTTCTTTATTTTTTTAAAGTTCTATATGGCATTCATGATATACAAGAAAGTTTTTCTGAATTTTATGTCGTGGTGTAGATTGGTGACAACAGTTGCCCAATAGTCTTGTTACTACATATTTCAGTATGACAAAGATGACGTTCCAATAAGTTTTGTAGCTGCAGCATGCGGAAGAAAACAATATTTTTTTTCGCCATAGCTATCTCCAATTGCTACATTCCTAGGTTGACACAGATCGGTGGTAATGCATAACAAAAATTCTTGTGATTTTTCATATTTATAATGATAGAGTCACTCCAGTTTTTTTTTATGAGAAAGATGTTAAGAAGAAAGATAAAAGAATGACGTAGACTGAACCAGTGTTTCCAATGGAAATTTAAAGCAAAATGTACTGTACACTCTGTATTTTATTAGCAAAGTGTATTTTATACTTTGTTTTTTTCAGCAAAATGTATCAAAGTGTACGAAAGCCAAATTTTCACAACCTGAAAAACAAAATATAATGTTCGTCATTTTTTTCTTTCATAAGATAAATATTTTGATCTCTAGCGAACAAATAAACGTTATCTTTAATTANTCCTCATTAATTCTCTTGTTTTTTTTTCACAGAAGGAAACTCATGTAAAAAATAACGAGCGAAGTCAGATTAAAAAACTTAAAATTCGTAAACCATTAATTCACTTTTAATCGAAAATCGCTATAAAAGGTCAATATTTCAGATAGCATTTCGATCTATTTCGTTCAGTTTTGGATAGGTCCTATCAACTTCGATTGAAATCTGTTAGAATTTGAAATACGTCAACTACAATTGATGTATATCGATCCTAATTAGATGAAGATTTTTTATAATTACACACAAAAACCAATACAAAACGATCCCTTTCATTGAATTTCAAACGATAAAAATCGGGACCGAGCGAAATTATGTATAAAAATCTAAGTTCCCGGTTACTTTCGACAAAAAGCTGATAAGAAGATGTACAACTTCTATCGGTTTTCAATCATTATTTGCAAAGATTTTAATCTGATCTCCCTTCTAACTTTTTTGATATGGGAAAAGCGAAAAAAGGAGCGTATGGTCGGAGCTAGCTCCGTGGAGCCGCCGCTCCGGAGTAGGAGCTGCCCATCTCTGATTTGAGCGAAAAATTCTTGTATTGTCACTATTGCGATTTGAAACTAAAAGTTGAGATCTCTATTTATGTATCAGCTCGTAGATCAAAAGCTACCCTACAAAATGTACGGCGTTTTTTGGTAAGGGGCCTCAAAATCAAATATCATATTTT